CCGTCCCACTCGCCGGCGCGAGGCCTACCAGGGGGCTGCCGGTGCTGGCCATGGGCCCGCCTGCCCCGCTCGAGCAGCGAGAGCGACCCAATGGGACGCCCGCGTCCTCCGCGAGTGACGTCAGCGACAACAATACCCGCTTCCGCTCGCTGCGGGCGGGACTTCCTCCAACCTCCTTTCGGCATTGGCTCGGCGATCGGCTTTTCAGTCGGCAGTCTCGCGTTTCCCGGTCACTCTCGCGAGATTCGTCCGACCGCTCCTGCGCCGAAGGTGGAGAACGAGAAGGGCGGCAGGCCGGGCGGCGGCCCTGAGGGGGAAAGACGGAGCTCAGTGCGCATGCGTCCTGACTGTCCGGAAGCGATGGAGGCACGCCCCCTCCCTTTCCACTTAGTGCCTCCCCCTCCTCCCCCTCAGGCGCTTCCCGTCATGCATCACGAACGGTAGCGTTCGGGAAGGGTTCGCGCTTCCGGTCCTTCGCGGGGAAGGGAAAGCGGGATGGGCGCCGTCGGGAGCGGTCGTTGCTCTCGGTGGCCGGCGGAAGCGCGAAGGCCTCCCCCGGGAAGGGACCCCCGTGGGGCATCCGCAGCGCCCGCCCTGCCCGAACCCCTTCGCCTCTCCGTTCTCGCGGGAAGGACCGGAGGGGGAGGAACAGAGAGGGGACGCGCCCAGCCGGGCTCGACGCCTGTCCGCGCCGGAGGAAGAGGAGGAGGAAGAGGGGCGGGCAGGCGGGCGAGGGAAAGAACGGGCGGGACAGGGCAGGGCGACGGGGTGCTTGGAAGCGCCCCGAGCGGGCGGACCCGCCGTCCTGTGTGAAACTCTCCCGGAAAGGAGGAGACTTTCCGGCTAGGAGCTCGAGCTGCTCCTAGTCTGAAATTGCCCGGTCCGGGTTTTTATGTGCTGAAGTCAGCGAACAGCGAACGGGCGCGCAGCCTGTTGCAAAGTCAGATTATGTGAGAAGGGTCTCTCTCTCTCTGTCTCCCTTGGGGTTGTTGTTGTTGTTTTTTTGCCCCTGACTTGAAGCTTTGAAAAGAAATTTATAAAATGAAAGTTATTTGATCAATAATTTCAGTGTCTCTGCTCCGAGCTCTCTTGTCCCCCTTGGATTTATGTCCACACAGAAGTAGCTGGCTCCCTTGGGAAACAGAGCGGGTGGCATATACATCTATCTCCCCGTTTGCCCTGTGGTAGCCATGCTTTGGGAGGGAGGCAGGCAGGCAGGCAGGCAAACCAACAGCAACAATGAGGTGCTTCTCAGATCAATGATCTAAATGTGCTCACTATTGCAGACTTGAAGTGGCGAGTATGCTGGCTTTGTGGAGCAGGAGGTGAAGATACAGGAAAGTGGAGCACTGCGCAATATAGCTGCAAAGAGCACATGAACACCCTGTGGTATTGCTTGAGCAACACTGAGGACAGGGCATTTCGCTAGTCAGATACCCTGTGTGTGATGAAGATAACCATCTTGGTGGTTGTCAGTTCAGTTTGAACATATCTCCAGGAGAAAGGCTGAGAGAAGCAGATCAGGGTTTGAGACTACAGTAGCGGAGTGATGGCTGAAAGCGATTAGACTTTGTGGCTGCCTCATGTGAGGAAGGAAGTGAGGCGATGGTAGAGGCGAGATCTGAACGTGAGCGTGTCAAAGCTGCCCTATGAGCCGTGGCCAGAAGCTGGCCCAAGTCAGGGGAGCCTGGGCAGCTGGCAGGAGAGGCATCCCTTGGCCCAGGAATGCTTGTGCGCCTGCCGCTGCTTCTCCTCCTGTTCTCCGAGCTAGTTTGGGAAAGGAGTCTACCGAGCAGCAGATGGGCATGCAGAAGGCTCTAGCGTGATCCTCTGCAGCGTCTCCTTGTTGGCCTGGGAAAGTGCCACATAGTCACTCTAAGTAACCACAACTGCCAGGTGTTATGGGAATGTGGGCCGCGGGAACCACTGAGCTGCCTCAGGTCATCTTCCTCACAGGAAAGAAGCCTCAAGGAGACGCTGCCTGCCCTTGCCGCCGGAAGACAGCTTCCACTGCCTGCTGGAGACCACTGACACATGCAGGGCAAGCAAAGGGGGGGGCAATACTTGCCCAGCCCAGCGTGCCTTCCTGCTCTCAGCACAAAGGGTGGCCTACTAATTGTGGCCCTTTCTTGATTGCTGCAGGGAGGTTGCAGAGGCTGGCCAAGAAGCACAGATAAGACATCATTCCTGGTAACTGAAAAACCGAGTTTTAAGAGAAAAGGTTTCCTTTTATGTGCACGTCTTGGAGAGAAGGTGCCCTTTGGGGGGCGGTGGCTGGGGAGCACCCATAAACTAAGGGAATGTGAAATAAAAAACACAGAACAGGGTCTGAATCAAAGAATGCAAGTTTTATCACAAAATGCTTGAAACAGAATGAAGAACTGACAGCTAGGGATGCCTGGGGTGCACAGAAAGAAAAAGGGAAGGCAGGGAGAGCTGGCAACGGAGGGAAGAGGGGCACCTCCTGCCACAGAACCTAGAGCAGGGATCTGCAGCACTACAAGCCCCTCCGACAGGTTAAATCCCACAAAAAGGGAAGCTTTCCTTGAAATCTTTCCAAGGATCAAGGCAAATCTGGCTGGAATGTGTGCAGAGGCTCACCCTCTGCCTTTCATAGTAATGGTCTCCTGTTGTAGGAAACCAAAGGGGTGGGCGGGCGGGCGGGCAAGGAGGGGACACAAGGGCCCTCCTGCAAGTTTTATCACAAAATGCTTGAAACAGAATGAAGAACTGACAGCTAGGGATGCCTGGGGTGCACAGAAAGAAAAAGGGAAGGCAGGGAGAGCTGGCAACGGAGGGAAGAGGGGCGCCTCCTGCCACAGAACCTAGAGCAGGGATCTGCAGCACTACAAGCCCCTCCGACAGGTTAAATCCCACAAAAAGGGAAGCTTTCCTTGAAATCTTTCCAAGGATCAAGGCAAATCTGGCTGGAATGTGTGCAGAGGCTCACCCTCTGCCTTTCATAGTAATGGTCTCCTGTTGTAGGAAACCAAAGGGGCGGGCGGGCGGGTGGGCAAGGAGGGGACACACAAGGGCCCTCCTCCCCCTCCCATGCTGTGAGCACTGAGTGGGGTGGGGTGGGGGAAGCAGGAGCACAACAGTAGCTTTAAGCAGTCTTGGTTCTGGAAAGAGCACGAGACACAAAGGAAGGTGCAGGGATATACTGCTACAGCTGCTCAAGCAGAACCTGTTGGAAACCAGCAGGTCCTCCAGCAGTGCAGCTGCCCTGGCATCGGAGGCCCAGAGAAGGCCTCCTCACATTGGCTTCAAACCCACCCCAGTTCCCAAGCAGCTCCACGAGCCCAGGGAGTACCACCACCACCCCTTTAGGCTTGTCTAGCAAAAACACTGAGGTGTCTAGCAGCTCTTTGAGGCCGGCCTGTTTTCATACCAGCCTGGTTAGTCTTTAACAAGACTCTTTGTTGCCTCCCTCCCCTCCCGCTACCTTTGCCCTCCCCATGGCAAGCAAGACGCGACCCCAGCTGCAAACTGCTTTCCTGCCCCTTCTGCCTAGGGAGGAACCCCTAAGCCCCTGTCTCAGAGCTGGGGGCTGCAGCTTGCGTCTGTGAGGCTGGGGCTGCCTGGAGTAGCCTGGCATGGGTTCTCGCTGGTGCTGCTGAGCCTCCCCAGCCAGATGCCCTGCAGTGTCTTGGTCTTGGCGATGGAGCCTGGCCTGCTGCTGCTGTCACTGCCCCACATGCAGTAGTCACTACTGCTGCTGCTGCTGCAGGAGGGGAGGGTCTGGGGCCCCCACTCTGGATGGTGGGGACCCTCCCTGCCTTTCAGAGGAGGGGCCCCCTCCTGCCCTGCCTCCCCATGGCCTTTCACCCAGAGAGAACTTCCCCAGGGGAGAGGCAGTGGGGGCTCAGCGCCATGCCTACAGTTAGGCTGGAGCCCCTTCTGCACCTGCTCAGGAGCCACCTCTTCGACCATGATGTACAGGCAGGCAGGAGATTCTTCAGGCAGAAGCTGGGGTCCCTTGTGGGTCACAGCCTTTATTGGAGAAGCGGTCAGGGCTCCATTCCCCTTATCCCCTTTGCTGCTTCCTTTGGTGGGGCTGTGGTTCTCGATGCCACTGGCCAGCCAAGGCCCCTTCTCTGTGAGTCCGGCCCAATCCTGCAAAGTTGCAGACCATGAAGAAGGACAAGGTGAGGCGGCGCCATGTACATGGAATAGGGCTGCTTAGCCAGTGGCAGCTGCTAAAACCGTTTTCTCTGAGCAATGTCTGGAAGGACAGAAGTCCCCATGTCCTGCCATTGTGGGTTCTCTCCAGCCTCCCGCTTGCTGCCCAACAGCTGCCAACAGTGATCCTTACCTTGAAATCCCCATTGTGAGCGATATAAAGTGGCTGGAAGAATGCTGCCGGGGTGGGGATCTTGGCCCCCCAGCTGGCCTTGGCCCTATAAATGGAGGAAATGGCACAGCTTTCACTGGTCAGCCTGGGGGACCTCCAAACAGCACAGCAACTGGCAGACAGGCCCTCCTAGCGTCTGGCTGGGGAGCATGTTGGGCTGCTGGCTGCGTTGTGTGTTCAAATCCCTATCCGTCAGCAGCCATGAGGCTCCCCCTCCTTGGGCCAGCCCGTGTCTCGGCCTGCCCTCAGTAGCTCAGAGCAGAATGGAGAAATGCCATGTGGAGGAAAGGAGGGATAGAAATGTAGAGAATAAACAGGAGACACAGAATGATGCCTGAATCCACTGCAGCCCTGGCAAGCGGCAGACTCGCATTCCTCCTTCCTTGACACCTGCCGACCTCGGGGCTGAAAACAGACCCAAGCCTAGGGCCCAGAGGCATAGGAGGCTGGGTGCCCACCAAGGGGCAGCAGGAAGGGGACAGCCCTACTGGGTTTTTGGAGTGTGGACGACAGCTTGGTGATGCTGAGAAGCCCTCTGAAGGGGATGCCTGCGTCTGGGAGAGTGCACAGAGCGCCTCGGCCGGATGAAGGCTGAGCATTCCCTGTGTCCTCCCTCAGAGTAGGTCTCTGGGCCTTTGGTCAGACTGCCCCCTGGTCACTGTGGGACACAGAGGAGGTTGCTTCCCCTCTTGCCGATGTGTCTGCCTGCCTCTCAGCTGGCACGAGCTCTCTTCCCTGCCCTGAAGGAGCTTCTGCCTCTGTCCCCAGTCTATTGGCTGTGGGAGCGTCATGGCTGGGTGTGTAGCCTGGTGCTCCCCCTGTGGGTGGGACCCACCTGGGGCTACAGTGCACCTGGGCCTGTGACCACCCGAGGGAGGGGAGCGAAGCCCGGCCTGCCGCTCTGGCCCCTGTGGCAGCAACCAGCAGGAAAAATGGCCGGCAGTACAACGGAGAAGAGCCCTGTGGCTGGCAGAGATGGGAGAGAAGCCGTGGACCTACCTCGAGAAGACCTTGAGGGCGAGGAGCAGGGCCCCGAGGCAGAAGGGCAGGGCCAAGAAGAGCAGGCTCCTGAGGTGGCTGGGGTCCAGCAGCTTTGGCCCGTCGGCTTCTGCAAGGGGCAGAATCATCACCAGCCCTTCAGACGTGGGCTTCCCAAGCAGCTGGCCACCAAAATGTCCAGCAGAAGGACCCCCTTGGAAAGGCAGTTCTAGGGAAGCCAGGTGACACCCAGCTCCAGGAGAGGGCCTCCTCTTCCCCTTCCTCCACCCCGCTTCGTTTGGAGTCATTAGAGCTGATGAAGCAGGCAAGTTGGGGCTGAAACAGAGCCCCGAGGGAGAGGTCCCTCCTAGCACCCTGTGTTCCCACCGTGGCAAGCGGCATGGGGGCTCTTCCACACACCTTTGGGTGCATCTCAAAGTTTTAAATAAAGACACAGACAAGCTGAGGGTCTTGGGTGGTGGGAAGATCGGGGGGGGGGGGGTTTGTCTTGCAAATGGCTTCCTACTGGCAAAGGCTGGGCTCCTTCTGCTCCTTCTGCTAGTGACGGAGATAAGGAGCTATTCAAAGCCTGAGCTGACCTTGCAGGGAGTGGGAGATTTTGCTTGTCACTGGAGCTCTCCTCTGATACACAGGCTGGCAGGCTGCATGTGCCTCTCTCCCAGGACAGAAGGAGCCACAGCAGGCACCAGCAGGCGTGCTCTAGACAGATCCCCTGGGCCTCCTGCAGCCCAGCTACCAACCTGGCGGGGTCTTCCACGTGGTGGCAGGACTCCAGGGGCTCCAGTAACTCCTATACCTCTCCTCCGTGTCTGGGGTTTTGCAGCGAAGTCTTGCGGTATAATTTGTGCCAGGCAGGAGCTGTGAGCCATCTATTTCCACAAATGCATCTTTGTTGACCAAGGTCTTTGTCTGTGCCTGCTGTGAGGGTTGGAGCACAAAGAGTCACCATCTCTGAGCCAGATCCCTTGGGTGACAGCAGCAGCAGCAGCAACCAGGAAAAACAAACACCCCCTGCCTGCCAGGGGTTCAAGATGAGCTGTGCAGGCAATCACAATTAAGCCCAGACGCTATAATGAGCAAACACAACATGGAGAGGCACCAGGAGGGCCAGAGCAGGGGTAAGCAGGGGCTCCACCTCAATTATTAGTCTCTTTGTAGCTGGAGAGAAGAACTCTGTGGAGTCAAGAGCAAGGGGGAAGAGGGCCAGCGCCCCCCCTCCCGTATAGCCAGAGGGGCAGCAGTGCCTCAGGCCAGGCCAAGGCCACTCTGCCAGCAGGGAGAAGGGCCTCCACTCCGTTTCTTGCTAGCACTCGGGACTTGGCAGCCACAGAACATTTGGAAGTTCAGCCTCAGTGTCATCTGAATCCCATGCCCTTCAGGGCACCATGACACCAGAGAGAAGGGGGGGGGGAGGACTCAAAATGCAAGGGGGCTGTATATGTGGGGAGGCTGTGGACAAAACTCCTCCCTCTCGAGCTGGGTCGCAAAGGAAAGGGATCCCGGCTTTCTTCTTCTTCTTCTTCTTCCCCTCTTCTGGCTGCCACTCACCTCCCAGGGAGCTTGCGTGGTCTTGAAGGCCAGCTCCCACTGCCAGTCCCCAAGGAAAATGTACTCGTAGGCAGGAGGCTTTTTCCACTGGATTCGGCACTTGTTGCTGCTCATGTTGCTCTTCAGGTCAACAGGCGGGTCACATAAAACTGGGGAGAAGACAGGGAGTGCTGAGAAGAGCGGCTGCTGTGTGATTCCAGAGACACCCGCCCAGCAGGCACTGAGCCCTCCAGGAGCCCGGCTGGTTTCTCCCACGCTGGCCCTGCCGAAGAGGCAGCAGCAGCAGCAGCTCCTGCTCAAGGGGAGTACAGTGGCCGGCGGGGCAAAGCAGTCACCGCCTCCGAGGGAGGGCTTTGTGCTGTTCCGCGCTCAGACAGACACGCATCCTCCAATCTTGGGCTTTGGAGCTGAGCGTGCCCCAGGCACCTCCATCCCCTGAGAGCCCTTGACCCGACCTGCCCTTTCCTTTTATTTTTTATTAATTAAAGAAAAACAATAAGAACAATGCAAACATTTCCCCACTGTCCCACCATCACCCTTGGGACCAAATAAAGAAATATTTCCTTTTAATCTCTTTTCACACCATTCCACTCCAAAAATACACTGATTCCCTCTGCTGGCATTTGATCTTTCCCTTTTACAAGAATATACTGTAATTCAAATATAGATTCCATATCTCTTTAAAATCATTCTATTTTGTCATGCCCCTTCTTACTTTTATTTAACATGTTAGCTTATCATTTATTACTAAATTTGACATTTCCTAATATCAGTCTTCAAGGTTGACTTGTCTGTCATTTTTCCATATTTTTTTGCAAATATTAATCTTGCTGCTGTGACCATTATTACGATTAACTCTTTCTGTTCTTTTTTAAGATGGTCATCCTTGATTATATTTAAAAGCTCAATAGTTGGGGATATTTGAATATTATTTCTTATAAGTACTCTAATTTCTTTAAAAACCAGTGCCCATTCTTTCTCTCTTATTTCACATGTCCACCACATACGTACGTATGTAAATAACTTCCTTTTTTTTTTGCATCTCCAGCATTCAGATGGGACATTTTTGCCTGCCATTTCCTCTGGGGTCCTGCTTCTCCCTCCCCTGCCTCAAAAGGAACCGGCCCTAAGGATCCCCTGAGAGATGAGGCAAGACTTACTGTTCATCCTGGGCTCATACAGAGCAAACACTGGGTAGACAAGGGTCTTTCCTGGGAAGGCGGCCTGCAGAGACACGCGGTACTGATCGTTCTCTGTGAACTCGTCTTCACACTCTGCGGAGCATCTGTACGTCTCCTGGGCTTTGGGGAAGGCAGACAAGTTGCAGCGGAAGTGGCCGGCATCACTGTGGATGCTCCAAGCATTAGGCGACCCGGCCTTTTCTTGCGCTGGGGCTCCCGGCTGCCTAAGGACAAGGCTGGATGAGGAAGAGAACACTTCCTTGACATGAAGAAAGAGTACACATGCACACAGGCAGAAACAGACATGGTGTGGTGTGCGTGTGAGTCCCAGGGAATGTGAAGGGCTTTGGCTTCTTGAGAAAATGACGTATTCCTCAAAGGCGGAAACGAAGCTTGCAGGACAGCCTCCTCTCCAGCCACTCACTGACCCACTGAGTAGGAGGGCAGGAAAGTCAGGCTCCATCCTTGGGGCCGGACTGTTTTGGATGGGGTTGCCCTAACTCTGGAGGATCCAGCGCCCAGCCTGTGCATATCCCCGGGCCCAGACCAGTCTTCCTTGCTCAGGGGCCAGGTGGGCCTTGGACCAGCTCTAGCGGGTGGGCAAGCGTCGGGCACCGTCGGTCAGTGAGGGATCGTACACAGAGGCCAAACCCTGGAAAGCTCTGGAGTGGGCTGCTGTAAGGCTTGCTGCCTGGGACTGCCCTTGGCGCTGGCCCAGAAGCAGCACCTGGTGCAGAAGTCTCCCACCAGCACAGGAGTTTTCAGCTAAGCCCGTGGCCTGTTTCGTGGTCCGCCTGTGTAGCCTCTTTAGACACTGGGACCCCATGATCCTTGCCGGCCACACTGCCCTCCCTTTGGGCTGCAGGCGAAGGGGGGAACCAGCCCTTGCGGCCTGTGTTCTGGCCCAGGGAGATGTGTGCCTCGGCCCTTTCCCCCTCCACCCGACAGGCCCGCGGCATGTTCCACACCCCGGGCAGGGATTTGGGGGTCACTGGCCTTACCGAGAGAAACTGAGGGAGAACTGTGCCTCTCCTGGGGTGCCACGACGGTGCCAAACACAGTCCACCCTGCAGCCCCCCAGTCCATAATTGTTCAGGCATTTTACGTTGTCTGAGATCCCTGCAGGGAGAATGGGAGGCGGGGGAGGAAGGAAGAGAGAAAGCGAGAGTGCCAGCGCATTCAGGATGAGAGCCCATCTGTAGGAGGTTTTCCATGTGCCTCCCCCCCCCCAAGACTTGACTTCATCCTCCTCAGGGCCTCGGGAGGCCTTAAATGTGTGTGTGTGTGGGGGGGAGAAGCCTGGCCCTGTCCTGAGGCCACTTTGTGGGTGCGGTGGGTGGGGGTGCAGGAGGGGAGACCCCCCCCCAGTCCTGGAAGGCTCCTGGGCAGGGCAGAGCCGGAACTTCCAAGAGGCTGCCCTTGCTTTGAATTCAAATTAGGGCGTGGGAATTACTTTGAAAGTAACTCATTTCTGCTCTTTTTGTTGTGGTGTTTCAGAAAAGTAATTTGTATCTCTTATTCGTTACTGTGGCAATAGGTTAAGCCTTTGCTAGCACTTGGGAGCCAAATTTTTAAAACTTGAAAAATTCCACTATCAATGCCTCTAAAATGCCCCAAAAAGCCAACATGGAGAAAAGCCCTGTGTGTTATTCTAGAAGAAGGGATGCAATTCCCAGAGGATTGTGTCAATCTGCATTAAATGCAGATTTGCCACACCATCCTCAGAAAAAATAAAAAGGGTGGCTGTGGGCATGGGGGAGATACCTGCCCTCTGGACACTGAGCCCACCCGGTGAGTCTCACAAGCCCCACCAGGCCTCTCCCCGGGCGCTCCGCCCTCTCGCTCGGGGTCCCCTTTCACCTGTTTGCTGTCCTTCCTCCTCAGCCACAAAAAGAGGGAGGAAAAGCAGGTGCACCAGGGAGGCTGTTCCACAGCTCCTTCTCAGGGCCA